GCTAAGTTGTTTTGTATAGCTGTTACAATTCTTTTCACTTGATACTCGCGGTCAGAGGGGGAACACGGATTACACTAAAAAACCAATTATAGATGGAAATTCACATTTTAAATGTAGGCAGGGCGTATAAGTTACATCTATTCTTTGTGAAGGGGTATTACTTTACTGAGTAATTTACAAATGATGTAGAAATTGTTTCAATTATGGTTTACTTCCCTGCAGGGAAGTTGATTATTATTGCCAACAACTGCCCGCCTTTGAGGAAGTCAGAAATAGAATACTATGCTATGTTGGCGAAGGTTGGAGTTCATCATTACAATGGGAGTGAGTGTCTTATGCCATCTCATCTTTATAGAATAACAGGAATTTTGGTCTTCTTATACTCCATCTGTTATTTAGCATTTCATCTTGTTTTACTTCGCTGAGAGCGCTTTTTTGGTTCTGCGGAATGATTATCTGATTATTTGACTTTTAGCGGTAGGTGATGAATAGTTCATTCATGCGTTTGAGCTTGCCGGTTATTTTTCTGTTTGAATTAGTAAATTTCACTGGGGGCGTTCATAGGTAATAGAAATATGGCATTGGTTATTTTGGTGAGGTCTTTCTTCTTCATTGGAATTTGCATCTGGCATAAATATAGTTTGTAATTTTTCCTCTTGTATTAAGTCATAAAACAAGTGTTTTAGAAGTTTGTCTACTCGTGTTAGGCATAAATAGAAAGAACCATTATGCTTCTGGAGGTCATACTTGAGCTTTTCTCACTTGCACCTGCAAGGAACTTGTATGATAGCTTTAAAGTAATTGATTTGAGTCGAACCCGCTCATACATTGGTTTGTTTTGGTTCTGGATGTCAAGTGGTATTTTAAAATGAGAATAAAAAATTACATGATCCAATAATTGTTTACGTTGTTTTTAGTAATATTATTTGGTAATGCACAGCTATATTGGGTTCTGCTGAAATGAGGAACAGCTGCTCTGGATTTTTGTTTGCCTGGTTCAGTAGTTGTTGATTTTGCTTTGCCCTTTATTTTGGAATCCCAAATCCTGTGTACTCTTTCTAAACCAGGCAAACCATCTGGCACTTGATTGTTGAGTTTGAATTCGTTGCGGGCTCTGTAGTTGGTTTCATTTAGTTTTTAGTCTTGGTAAATTCCCTGCTCATGGAAGTTTTTAATGGTTGAAATTATATTGGGGTGTCGTTTTCACTGCTCAGTAAGCACTTTTTCAGTGCTGATATGAATTTAAAACCACCTCCCTTTTTTTCCCGCAGGGTAGGGGGTTTAGTTGACTCATTGGTAGTTTCATATGCTATAAACTTGTCACCAATGTGGCTTATGACACTGCTTATATTTTATGCTGATATTGGTGACTATGCATGTTAGTTTTGCATGCTTGTTTATTTCCCTTGATGTCAAATGGTGTTTTATGAGCATTTAACGGACGTGATTGAGTCACCTATTCCTGCCATTTCCTCCCACTCATCATTTGACAAAGGATTTCTCTCGTAACAGATAATGTTGACTTGGGCACTGCTTGCGGCAAGTATTTCAGAGTGTGCTGTCTAAGCATCGTCGACCCTGGTACCTATTGTTGTTAACTTTTAATTTAATGTTGTAAATTAACTGTTTTTCCATTTCCTAATTGACTGTTATTGCTATTTTCAGGTGATTCTGATATCATTAAGACAATGCCTGGCGATCAGTAGAATAGTATTAAGCCCATTTTGTCCTCTCACAAAACTTATATTGTTTTATTTTCTCAATTTTCCGTTGATTTGGACATTATTATAGAAATTCATGATGTGGTCTTGGACCATTTGAGGTGTACTTTTCCTTCGGTAGCAGGATTGTAGCACATTGAGCTTTGATGAAATGATAATGGAAGTTTATCTTACGAAATTTTCGTTGAAGCCAACGCAGTAATAATACTATTTATGGATGCTGCTTTTGCTACATCCTTGCAAATTTTCTTGGCTATTGGCCCTCTTATTGTCTTGGCAATCCCCCCAGAATAATTTTAGATGGGTGCAATTTACTACTAGTGCCGTAGTATTTTTTTGTTGACGAAAGTAACCTGAAAAATTAATGCTGCATATAACAATAGCGCGACGACTCGTTAGTTTATTATAGTCAGTCAGCGACTGCGGACGCACTGATTATTCTTAAACTCGCTGAGTTCATTTGGAATGAACATGTTAAATTGCTTGATTCATGCCCTGACACGTTATTACAGAGGAAGAGCGAAGGGATTGAGATGTTCTGAAATTTTGGATTTGTTTACTCTATATTTTATTATTTGATATTGTAAATTTGTTGAGAACAATAATTAATTAGCATAGAATGTGAAAAATGCAAATTTTTTGTTTTGGTTATAATTTTGCCGTGGACGAATCATCACGGGACAAATCACATTATCCAAGATGCAATGGTTGGGCGTCATTGGACCCCGATCCAAATCAGTAACCGAAGTCCACACGTCACTCCTTTATTCTTTGTTGGATGATCTTATGCTCTCTGGAAAAGCTTCTACATCTCAGGTAGAGGTGATCTTAAACCGTATGCAAAGATTGTGAAGCATCTGGCCAGAATATGAATAAACTAAACAAAGATATGCTTCTCAAAGAATGTGCATTTTTCTAGGGCAATTGATCTTAGTCAACGGATGGGGTTGGGCTGATTGGGGATTTGGAAGAATACCTTCGTATTCCTTTGATTCATAAGAGGGCTTCTTATGTCACTTTTGCCCTTATCCTAGAAACCTCAAAAGCGGTTATCTGGTTGGAAGAAGATCTACCTTAGTATGGTAGTACGTGATATCCTTATAAAGATAGTTGCCTTAACCTTCCCTTCCTACCATACGCAAAATATTCTACTTCCTAAGCGTCTTTTGAGGGAGATTGAGAAAGTACGAATTTTTTGTGGGGAGACGAGGTTGATGATGAGAAGAAAGTCTATTTGATATCTTGGAACAAAGTTGTGCTGGATGTAGAGCTGGTAATATGGGTTGAGCCCGTAATCCACCATAAGGTGGGTTGGGTTGAAAAAAATAAAAACTATTTTGATATGATTTTTTTCAACTTGCACTCGTTAATGCACAGCCTATCACAGGGTTAGCCCACTAGCTTTTTTTTTTAATTTTTTTTTACTATTTTTATTTTAATAAGAAATTTTTTTATCATTTTCACTTAATTTACATATAACTTTGTATTTTGTTAGAAACTTTAATTCTAAATTTGATTTATCATTTCTTTATTGTTTTACTATTTTTATACTAATAAAATAACTATTAACAATGAATTATATGTTTATATTTTAAATTTTGAGACTAATTTAATTATATAATTATATGAAAATATAAGAATAAGAAGATTTGGTTTATAAAAATTTATAATTTAATTTAAAAAACTTTGAATATATATGTAAAAAAAATTTTTTAAAAAAAAGATGGAGGTTGGCCCCGACAACCCACCCCTAGGTGGGACGGGCTGGCAAAATGTGAGCCCCTAAAAAGTGGTCCTTTTAGGACCAACTCGTATAGTCTCATGCTCGCAACGGGCTGGCCCATAACAGGCAGGCCAGCCCGTTTTACCACCTCCAGTTGGATCAAAAAGATGGTGGCTTGGGCTTAAAGGATTTGAGTAAACAAAATGAAACATTCATCATAGAGTTATGCTGGAATCTCCTCCATAATCAAGAAGCTCTTTGGGTCAATGTCTTGAAAGCCAAATATAATTGTGGAGACATGGCGATGCCTATTGTAGAGAAAAAGAAAAAAACATAACTCTTTCTTTACTTGGAGAGGCAATTGTAATGTCTAGAAGAAATTTAGAGAGGGTTTGGGAGTGCAGATTGGAAATGGTTTCTCAACTTCTTTTTGGTTTGATAATTGGTGAGAAATCAACAAACCCTTACTTGAGCTCATCCCCAGATATGAACACTTGATTGATAAAGATGAATGGGTGATTAATTATGTTAATCCCTGGGGAGAGTAGGATCTTAACAAATTGAGCGTCTAGTTTGATCCTCACATTGTTGAGCATATCACATGCATACTCATGCCGTGAGGAGAGAGAAGAGGACAAATAGGATTGGAAATAGGCCAATGATTGCCAGTTTACTATTAAATGTGCATATCAATTTCTTTTTGCAGGTACCCAAGACGGTGGAGACATTTGAAGATTGCTATGGAAATAACGAATCCCGAAGAAAATCAAATCTTTCATGTTGTTTACACACGAAAGAGTGCACACAGCATAGTTGTGAGTGAGTAGAGGGATGGCAAAAGATGCTTCATGTCCTATTGGCTGTGATAGTAGTGAAGACTCCATACATCTACTTCGAGACTGTTCGAATGCTAAAGACCAATGGAAATTTGTGGTTTCTTCTCCTTTTCTCTGGAGTGCTTTCTTCTTGCTACAAGGGAAGGATCGGGTTAGATGGAATCTAACACATGATGCAGGATAGGATCATACTTTAAAGGGAAAATCACTAACAGGTCCCACAGAAGGCAATTTATTACTCTGAGGTCCCACGAAATGTCAAAATCACTGACAGGTCCCAAGGGACCTCAGAGTAATATTTTCGTTTTGTAAAATGACATTACTGCCCCTCATATTCCAGATTCACATTTGCTCTGTCATTACGATTTAGAACCTCAGCAGTGACTATTAACAACCTAATGAGAGGGCGTTAACAACCCTAGCAGTATCCGTTAACAACTTACTTTATAGAATTATATAACCTCTACATAAGAGTAAATTATAACCAAATAATATAATACAACAATTTTAACACTAAAATGGGAAGCTTTTTGATATCATTAAGAATTTTAACTAGATCCAATAGGATTATAGTAATATTTTAATGCAAAGATCCATTTACAACCTCAACAGTGACTATTAACAACCGAATGAGAAGGCATTAACAACCTAAGCAGTATCAGTTAACAACTTACTTTATAGAATATATAACCTCCGCATAAGAGTAAATTATAACCAAATAGTATAATACAACAACTTTAATACTAAAATGGGAAGCTTTTTGATATCATTAAGAATTTCTAAACCCAATAGGATTATACACAACATTTTAATGCGAAGATCCATTTACAACCTCAATGGTAAGTATTAATAACCCAAAGAGAGCTGTTGACAATTTAGGCAGTATCTATTAACAATTGACTTTATAGGATAATATAACCTCTAACAACTATATAAGATTAACTTTAAGACTATTTAGTTATAGTTAGAAGTTATATTATCCAATAAAGTTAGTTGTTAACAGACACTGCTAAGGTTGTTAACAATTCTCCTTAGGTTATTAATACTTACTGTTGAGGTTGTAAATGGATTTTCATATTAAAATGTTGCTATAATCCTATTGGGTTTGGTTAAAATTCTTAATGATATCAAAAAGCTTCCCATTTTAGTGTTAAAGTTATTGTATTATACTATTTGGTTATAATTTACTCTTACGCGGAGGTTATATAATTCTATAAAGTAAGTTGTTAACGGATATTGCTTAGGTTGTTAATGCCTTCTCATTCGGTTGTTAATAGTCGCTATTGAGGTTGTAAATGGATCTTCGCATTAAAATATTACTATAATCCTATTGGATCTAGTTAAAATTCTTAATGATATTAAAAAGCTTCCCATTTTAGTGTTAAAGTTGTTGTATTATACTATTTGGTTATAATTTACTCTTATGCAGAGGTTATATAATTCTATAAAGTAAGTTGTTAACGGCTACTGCTTAGGTTGTTAATGCCCTCTCATTCAGTTGTTAATAATCGCTGTTGAGATTGTAAATGGATATTCGCATTAAAATATTACTATAATCCTATTGGATCTAGTTAAAATTCTTAATGATATCAAAAAGCTTCCCATTTTAGTGTTAAAGTTGTTGTATTATATTATTTGGTTATAATTTACTCTTATGTAGAGGTTATATAATTCTATAAAGTAAGTTGTTAACGGATACTGCTAGGGTTGTTAACGCCCTCTCATTAAGTTGTTAATAGTCGCTGCTGAGGTTGTAAATCGTAATGACAGAGCAAATGTGAATCTGGAATATGAGGGGCAGTAATGTCATTTTACAAAACGAAAATATTACTCTGAGGTCCCTTGAGACCTGTAAGTGATTTTGACATTTCGTGGGACCTCAGAGTAATAAATTGCCTTCTGTGGGACCTGTTAGTGATTTTTCCTACTTTAAAAGTTAACTGGGATCTCTTTTTCGGATATATTTTTCTAAAAAAATTTTAAATAAAATTTTTCTAAAAAAATTTTATTTGTTATTTGCAAGTCTGATGCTGTTAAAACATATTAAAATATTGTTACGAAAGCTGATTTATGATTTAGTAATTTCAAACTTCTTTTTGTGGGATTCTCCTACTATTTTAAAATTTTAAATATAAATTAATGTATAGTATGTAAAAAATAAAATTAAATAAAATAATCAGAAATTAAAAAATTAATATTTAAAATAATTTATAAATTTACAATTTATTAATTTATTTAGTAGGTTGTTGGAAAATTGATGTAGTAATTTATTAAATAAATATTATCTATATATTAATTTACCCAAGGTTAATAATTGTAGATATTTTTATATTTAAATAAAAATAAGAAAAAGACCTTATTATCATACAAGGTTTTATTCCTTGCGTTAAATAAAATGTGAGGTTTATTTATTTTAGTGTGTTGACCAAAGCTTTATTTTTATAGTAATTACTTATCATACAAATAAAGATCTGTTTTATGTAAATGAGGATTTGTCAAGACAATATGGTATTTTTTCTATTGTATTTGTTGAAATTTAAGGCCCACATCTTTATATTTATTACAAGTTTTATTTCTCAATTAATTTGTTAATGGAGATTTTTAACCAATTATCTGAATAACTGAATTACCCTTCTTTTAAAATTTTTTATAAATTAGTTAAGTGGATCTTAAAACAAGTGAGTATTTTAAAACGAGTGGTGTATAAGAGTAGAATTAGAATCCCCCCTCTGCATATTTTAGGCCACATAATTCGTTAGGCCGAGCGGCATTTTGAGCAATTGAAATGGGCCCAATCCGAATCCTAATCTGCACACTCATTGGCTGCTTAAAGGGTTAGATTTCCCATACCATCTGTGGCAAAACATGAGTGGTTCCACTGAGATAAGGTTCAAATTACAGAGACTAAGACATGACTTGTCGCCTCCTGCTCTGCCAATTCCACCATTAACACCACAGCTCATTAAGGCAAGTACTAAAAAAGAGACAACACGTGTAACAAGTATCTTTCTTCTTACGACAATTTCTTTAAGATTCCGGAAATTATCTTCCACAAAACCGACTTCTTCCATCTTCCCAGAACCTGCCGAACTTCGCGGTCAGGTAAGTGCCTACAGTTTCTAGTTTTAGTTTCCCTCCTTCAAGTTCTGCATTTTGTCCCTGCAGAATTACCCTTTCCTTGTTTGGTGGCTCAGAAAAATGTTTGTTTAACAGGGTAGAATATGTTATGATTGCTTTTGGTTCAATTTGCGTTGTGTTTTCCTCTTGTTGCTGGCAACGAAAAAAAGGTCTTGAGAAAATTAGATATTGAGGAATCTGTGATGAACATGACATACCCACGTTGAAGTAAAAAAAGCAATTATCTTTGCTTGAAGAACAGAAAATTTATTGTTATCCTAATATAAGAAATATATTCAAATAGGTGGAGGCTGGACTCGAACCAAACTTCAGAAAAAACCTCTAGGATGACTATGTAAGCTGTCTATTAAGGCGTTGATTGTTCTCTTGATTCCTAAAAGGGGGAAAAAAATGAAAAATCCTCAGTCTATGTAATATATCGTTTTGTATTCAAGTTTTTCATAAAGACCCTTTCTCCCCCCCCCCAAATTATACTGTTTTTCAAGTTCATCCAGTTTCTTTTCGCAACCTAAATCTATCTGGGCGAACAGATTTTCTAGTTCATAATCGGGTTAGAGAATAACAGAATGAGAGTGAAAATCATAAAAGACAGTGTTTTGTGAACATAGAGGGAGCATTTGAGGAGAGAGAGAATGAATGAGTGTCATTATGATTCGTGGGTTCCATACACAATCATATTCTATCGTGTCACTTACACTCAGTTGTTTTATTTATGCATATACCTCATTTCACTCTGTTTCTGTCTAGTTCCTAAGATCCAGACTCTGAAATTAAGCTGAAAAGATTGTCTGAGATGGTGAATCTAAGTTCATTCTATTGATGCTATGAAGATCTTTAGAGCACTAACTTTTCTTGCTTTTGATAAACATGACTGCTTTGAGTAAACTGTTTCAAGGTCTTTTGCCTTTTGTTTTCCCTCAGGTATATGGCTGCGTTTCTGTTAGGTTACAAAGCAGTCTACAACGACCAAAACCTACCTATTCAAAGCATTTCAAGGAAGAATGACAGGAGACTCGTATATGACCCTATGAATATGCAAAGGTCCTTCTCTTCAACTTCTGGTCAAATTTGCAAGAGAACCCATCCTTCATATGCAGATAGTGATCACTTTCCCAAATCAAACTTGCAAGAAGGGTTTGCGCCTCGGTGTCTAGGTCAAGCTGGAGGATGTTCACTGCACAATTTGAAGACAAAAGTCACTTGCCTGCAAAGAGTTTGTGGTTCACATAGCCATATAAAGCTCATTCATGGATGTTATTCTAAGAGGAATAAGTTTTCCTTGGTTAGGTGTTCAGCAGAGTCAGGCGGCAATGAAAAGCAACTGAGATCTTTAGATTCTTACTTTGGAAAACTCCAAGATAACCCAACACTGTTATCTCCGTCGGATTCATCTGATCAGGTGATTCGGGAGAATAACGAGAAGAGCCAAGCCATATCAACAAATGGCCTGGAGTCTCTCAATGCTTATCTTGGCAAACTAAATAATGGTAAAGTAAGCTCATTTGTTACCTTTATGTTGTAAATTTCAAACACTGGTATTCTGTGATACAGCTCCAAGAAAATTTCTTTAGAAGGATTTGAAGAATCAAACAGATACCTGCACAAGAAGTATATATTGTGTTGTTTAAGTACTTTTTACAATTCGGGGCTAGTATATATTGAATCAACATGTCAGGTTGGAAATTTATCATCCAAGTAGGATGATTTGGACAGAAATCTCCCTTTGTGTGCTTATCAGTTTCTGTTTATCTGATGAGCAGGTGCAAGCCAAGAGTCTTCTGTTCCGTCTACTTACATTGAACTTCATAAGGAAGAAAACATCAGTAAAAAAACTAAAAGATACTACGCTGGGAAACAGAAGACTTATTTGAATATAAGAAGAACAAAAGGCGAACGTGATGGAAGGTCATATAGAGATACAATACAGCAAGATGAAGCCTCCAATCTCTACTTAATGTAAGTCTTTAGTGTTAATTGGTGTTCCCACTTGTTCAAAGACTAGTTTTTGCATAGATAGGTTCTCATTTGGTGGCGTTATAATTGATGCAGTGGCATATTGGCTTCAATAAACATCGCTGTATTCCTCTTTGAAATAGCAAGTCCTATAAGGAACTCTGACTTGGAGCTGTTTTCTATTCCACTGCTATACGGTGCGAAAATAAATCATTTGATCGTCGTTGGAGAATGGTGGAGGCTGGTGACGCCAATGTTTCTGGTACAAGATTGAGAATTGGGTTCGTGTTTCCATTCTATGGTTATAGAGCACTATTTATATGAAGCTCACTATTATTTGCGAGAACTATACAATTAACCTAACGTTAGACCTAATATTGGCGCCTAATGAGCAATGAAGTTAACGTAAGCTTGTAAGACCTCAACTTGAGTTGGCAAAAAAGGTCTTACAGGCTTGGACCAAATTTTCCTATAATATAATCAACTAATTGATCTGCTTTCTTATTTTTATGATGTACCTTATCTGTTTTGATTCTACACCGCATTGGGTTTTGGTGATTGATTTCATTTCAAATTTCTTGTCCACAGACAGCTTCATAAACTTAATGACATATACTGTCAAGCTTTCTTAAGTTAATATATCAAAAGAATCAAGTGATCACTAAATACTCATGAAAAATTACAGAGTAAAAGATGATATGGTCTATTGTATGAACAAACCTTATGGTAATTCTAAAATGAGAAGTACTGTATTTTAGAGTAGTTTAGGAGATATGTTTACTGATTTCTAGATCAATTTCATTGAAACAGGATTTATAAATTACGATACCTTCTCAATATATGGTACTTTTGGATCTTTGATGTGTGCAGCACTCTGGCATTTTTCATTTGAATCTTTGATGTGTGCAGCACTCTGGCATTTTTCATATGGCTCTCAGTTGTTGGGCACTTGTATCATTTGGCCCTCATGTCTGCAGAGGCTATGGTTCATTCACCTTTCTCTTGATTTACATATTGGGAGGAGTTTCTGGCAACTTGACTAGTTTTCTGCATACACCAGATCCTACTGTTGGTGGGACAGTAAGCTCTTGACGTCTATACTTTTGTTTCTTGATGATGCTTCAATAATTTCATCTTCAATTTTTAAATCACAGTAAGTCAGAAATCAGTGTAGATTTCTGCTGTCACTTTGCTTGGTTCTAGTGTTCATGAGTTCTGGGATCTTTTCCCCCCTTTCCTTCTACAACTAAACTGAGATTGAACTAGTCTCCTATAAATCATTCCGTCTGCTCTTTATTTATTTTTCACTTCTATGGTTGGAACATAAATGCAGGGACCTGTATTTGCCATAATTGGAGCTTGGCTCGCATATCAAATCCAGAACAAGGATGTTGATGATAAGGATACTTCAGAAACCATGTTCCAGAAAGCAATAGTTTTTACAGCTGCTAGTTTCATATTAAGCCACTTTTGTCCAATTGATGACTGGTATGTCTCTAACATTGTTCACAGAAATGAATGTCAACAGTTATGGAAGAAACCTAACCTCAAATTCTCACACTCTGAAAAACCATAACCCTTATTCATTGTATAGGTCACACTTTGGCTCAGCTATAACAGGAATGGCTTATGGGTTTTTCACAAGCCCAAGGTTTGAGTTGAAAGATGCATCATCTTCTTCAGGAAGAGGTGGCCAAGAAGAAGGGCTCAAACTTGTGAGACAGTACGGTGATTCTTGCAGATCAGCTTTTGTATTCACCATCTTCGTCATTGCTCTGAGCTCCTTCCTCTTCTTCATGGAGCCTCCCCTTAATGCGTTAGCCTCAGTGGATGAAGTGATAGAAGACTACCTGTTACTTTATATGAGTGAGAGTTCTCTGTCCTAGATAATTTATCGCTTTTTGTGTCAAAGAAAGGAATAAGACAATGGAGATGCAGATTATAGAAGTGAACTCTATACACCCCTTTTATATATGAGTGTGGAATCTTGATGAGAAAGAATCAATGGATGGATATAAATTATAAAGAAAAGAAGCGGGCCTGATACTTACTTCTACCTGTTTACAGATACTGGTTCCATGCTGTATAGATATTGGGTGCTCATCTTAATTTAAACTATTAATAATGATGTTGGATGCTCCGTATTGAATGCAAACTTTTTTTGAATATTTTAATTAATTTTTATTTTAATAGATAAACAATTTGAAATGAGAATCTACAACTGCCACTTTTTTTAAAAAAGTAAGTTTATCACTTTATCATGGAAAAAATTGCATATTAGAAATCTTAAACTCGAACTATTTATATCATATTTTGGATGATCTAGACTGTATTATGGTGATGAGCACTGAACGAGATTTAAATAGTTTAGTTCAAAATACAAGTTACTGGGAGAGTAATTATTGTTTGTTTATCAATTTTGTTAACACAATTAAACTTAAATGTAATTTTTTGTATTTTTATCCTTCTTCCACGACCTTATTTAATACGAGTAAAATTAAAAAAATTAATTGAAAACAAATTTAATGAATGAACTATCATGGCTCCAGTGAATTAGCAGGGTTAAGTTGTTGATATTGTGGATGGGGGGACCAAGGGAGGGGGGGGAAGGTAGCCTATAATTAAACCTAGCCTTTTTTTTATTGGGACCTTGCAATAATTGAACGAACCTAAAACTGGAAGAGGATACTCTCTGTGTCCTCTTCCCTTGGCTCCGGATCCCAATAGCAGAAATTAATCTAACAGCTCAGAGTTTGTTTGGAGCTCCGTTCAAAATAAACTTTTAAATAGATTCACATAAATCAAGATAAAACTCTTCTTACATATTTATTTGTATTTCGTAAATCACGTTTAAAAAGTTATCTATAAGTCAATCCAAACAAGTCTTCATACTGCCAACACAAATTTATCCTGAAAAAAAATTTTGGTATAAATTTAATATGAAAATTTAAAATTATAGTAATATTATCTCTTATCATTAAAAAAATAATATTAACCATTAAAATAATAATATTTACCTTTAATATTTTTAATCTTTTAAAATGAGTTTGTACTCAGAAAACATCTTTAGATAGTCATGAATCAAAATTTTGAAAATAAATTTACATTTTAACTCTTAGCTTTTATTCCCGCCGTCTCATCTCCACGTGCACGACAAAAGGTAAGCCAGATTCAGCGTACTCCATTGATTATTTTCCAACATAACAACAAAAGTTGGACTTTTCATAATAAATCAATCAATCATGAGAGTCAGGTCAAAAATCAATTATAAGAGTCAAAATCATAATTTTTAAAAACAAGTCATGTTCTTTCACAAGTCATGACAAAACAAAAAACAAGGGACATGCTTGTTTAAAAAAGGAACGTGCTCACTCTTTTCCTTCTAGGATCCCCCCATGTCAAAGGGAGAGGGTCTGTTCTAGACATGGTTGCCTCCTTCATTGTCTTTGGTCCGCAAGTGCGGCTCTTCATTTGCAATTTAAATTTATAATTTTTTAAAATTATTCATATTGAATATATAATATATTAATAGAAAAATTTTTAAAAGGATTGAAGCAAGAGTATCCTACATATGCCTGACAAGGATAAGCTTTTCAAAGAAGAAAAAGGCCAAAGGGTGAAATCATTCTAGTCCAAACCCATTTATCAAATATCCTAACCTCCATTTCTCTCCCAAACTTTTCTCTGAAAATTTTGCCATGGATCCTAAACACATCAACTGCCTTTACCACATTTTGGTGACACTATACAAAATCAAGAGGGGACTATTTCATTCAATGAAAGTTGTGGCAGAAGAGGTTTAAGTTGTCAAGGGAGAAGAAGCTATAAATATACTCACTGACCTTATTATTGCCAGGGTAGAGTCAATTGAAAGATTACTTGATCAAATCCACCTACTGGAGAGGCTATTCACTAAACTTTGCCCCCTTGTGTCGACTTTGTTTGTGTTGACCCTATATCACAAGCTTTTGCATCATTGAACCCGTAGTCCTGTCATCACAACTTAGTTCACATTTGTGATCACCCATGGATAGTTGTATTCATCATTTGCCTCACACATCTCTAAGCTTCAAGCTACAGAGACTCTTTGTAGTTCGCATTGTTCTTTTTCTTTTTCCCATCCACCTACCTCTATCCAATGTGCTGTCACACATGTGTTCTTCGCTTCGCAATCCCTCTGGTTTTGTCTAGATTCTTGCCTTCGTATTGTTGTGTCCAAATTCTTGTCTTCGTGACAATAATTTATTTGAAAATAACAAGTTTTAATTATGAAATAATAGATTTGGAGTTGTGGTCAACAAACATGTTTTTTCCCTCATACCTCACACGTAAAAAAAAAAATGCATCAATTAAAAAAGACAACAATTCATTTATAAATAATAAGTCTTGATTGTAATATCACAAGGTTTGAGTTGAGATTAACAATACGTTTTTTTTCTTATATTTAACATATAAAATAACATGTGAATCAATTTTAAAAAAATAACAATTCACCTAGGAATAACAAGTGCTTATTGTGAAATCATAAGTCTCAAGATGGAATTAATAACACGTTTTTTAATTTCTTGATACATAACATGTCAATCAATTAAAAATTTATAACATTTTTTTTCATTATAAAAAAATATTATTTAACAAAATTTATAAAAACATTTTAACTATAATTTATAAAAAAATATAAAAGTAATTTTCAATTATAATATTTATACTATTTATAATTTATAAAAAATATTTTACCTCTAATTGATAAAAATATAAAAATTCTCTCTAGTTATACTAGTTATATTATTTATAATTATAAATTATAAACCAAATATAATTAACCAAAAAAATATAATAATTAAAAAGTATTTGTATATATTTTTTAACATTGGACATGCAATATTTTTATAAATTTTTATAAATAATATATTTTTATAATGAAAAAACGTGCTATTCCTCCAACTAGGAATTTGTTATTTCATAATTAAAACTTGTTATTTTTAATTGATTCATATATTATATATCAGGAAAAAAACTTCTTATTAGTCCCAAATCCAAACTTGTGATTTTACAATTAGAACTTGTTATTTTTAGATGGAGTGTTGTTATTTTTAATTGATTTAAATACTACGATTAGGAAACAATGTATTGTTAATCCCAACTCGAGATTTATTATTGTACAATCAGGACTTATTATTTTTAGATGAATTATTATCGTTTTTAATTAATTCACATGTTATGTATAAAAAAAAAATTATTATTCCCAACTTCAAACTTGTCATTTCACAACCAAAACTTATTATTCCCAAATCAATTGTTGTCACGAAATGAAACCACAATAAAGGAATTAACTTATCTATGTATAATACATTATAATATTAACAAAGTTTGTTAGAGTTAGTATCTGTAAAAATGACAGGTTAAGATTAATTAAAAGCCAACCCATTAGTAAACGAGTCTTTTTATCCCATACCACTAAGCTTGCAACCCGCCACCAATTAACCTGCTAACCCACATTTATTTTTTTATTTTTAAAATTTTCAAAATAATTATAATTATATTATTATATATTATATTCCATCTAAAAAATTAAAAAAAAACATCTATATAATTTATTTGATGTCTTCAATCAACTGCTTTAAGAAAAAATAAAAATTATTATATTTTTTGGATATTATATAAGAAAAATATAATTAAAAATAGAAAAATTTTAGAAAAAATAATTGTTAACGGGTTGTCCGGCCAACTCACCAATCTATCTTGAAGCTAATCCTCCTTTAGACAAGCTTTTTAAACCCAACCCATATAGGTTTAATCTGTCATGGATCAATTTGCAACTCGTAGGTTAGCCCGTATAAACACCATTAAAGTTTGTTGATTTAGCTGACATCTTTAATTTTTGTTGATAATATGTTACATACAACTGAATATATGTTATACGTACATATCATAGTTATATTTACTCAAATTTAGATCTTTTTAGAAATTAAATTTTTAACCAGGATTTTTTACCAAATTTTTTTTATATGACACTTTCCTATTAAAAATCTTTTCTGTTGTCATTTTCAGTTAAACATATTTAATATTAAAGTACTCTGTCTGGCGTTGTTTTGTTTTCCATTCCCCTAGACACAAAGCGTAATCATGTCCCTTACACTGTGATGCTTACACAGACTTCACTCGGTCACAACTGACGACGCTGCCCCCGCTTTGACCACACACGACGTCGTTCACGGGTAAGACGCCGCACTACAACAACGCGTCTTTTCTTTTTTGAATGAAAGCAACATCCTTTTATAAATAATTTTCGAATAAAAAAATTAGTTAAAAATAATAAATTAAAATTAAAAATTTTTTCCTTTAAAATACTCTTATTTAATAGAAAGAATATAAAAAATAAAAAATGCTTAAAATAAAAATAATTATGTAAGAGAGATAATGTGTAATAGAGAGAGATGATTGTTTGAGAAATAAGATAATAAATATATTGATTATTAAAATAGGTAATTAATAGAGAAAAAAGAAAATTAACTATAAAAATTTAAGAGAACTTATAATGTTTCTTATATTTATGGCTAAAAAAAGAATAATAGTTGTTACTTATAAAAAGTGATGGATAGGATATTAATTTGCTTGTAGTTAGTAAAGTAATTAAATTAGTTATGTATAATTAATATTTTGATTTTTTAAAATTATTTTTTAATCACATGTATTGAAATAAATCATTAATTTAAAACTCTCTTAATGCACATAATTAATATGATTATTTTAGAAAAAATATTATAAATTTAAAAAATAAAATAGATTACAATATTATATTTAGAATTAAAGTCAACCCTTCATCATCTACTTTGTATCTATGGTTAGAGGTAGTGTAAAAAATTATTATCTTGGTTCTTTAATATAACATACACTTTGATATACAAATTCCACTGCATAGTAAATTGTTTTTTTAATCAACAAGGATAATGACTATTTTATGGAAATCACCAACACAAAGTTGTTGTAAATTACAAATTTTAACAATTTTCTTAATATTTATAAATTACTCACATACAACAATTTGCTGCCTCACCTTTTTCTTTTTTCAAGGTAAATAAATTTGACTAATCACCCATGAGGCTATTATTGCCACACACATTCACG